TTATTTTTAGTTGCAAGTAGCAGAAAGCAAACTCCAAGTAACTGAAGCAGTAAACTGGGGGTGATCTATTAGGAAGATTCCAGGGTGGCCAATGGGCTTGACAAACAACCAGTTCAGGGACATCCCTTAAGGCTTAGAGGGAAAGGCTTTGATATAAAGAAACCTCTTGAGATTCTATTTCTTGCTGCAGAGTCCTGTATAAACTTTTTTATGAGGTCGGAATCAAGATTGCCAGCATCAGGCTGGGCACGGTGCCTATAATCCCAGTACTTGGGAGGCAGAGGCAAGAGAGTTGTCTGAGCCCAGGGGTTGGAGAAAAAATTAGCCAGGCATGGTGACACACAGCTGTATTTTCAGCTACTTGGAAGACTGAGGCAGAAGGATCACCTGGACCCAGCTGATCAAGGCTTTGGTGGTCATGAGTGTGCCACTACACTCCAGCTTGGGCAACAGAGTAAGACTCCGACTTAAAAAAAAAAAAAAAAAAAAGATTGCCGGCATCAGCAGGACTCTCATCTTCCTTTCCTGAGAGGAAGGGTATCTTCCTAGCTCCAATTAGAGAGATCCCAGGGAGGGATGCTGATTAGTTGAGTGTGGGTCCTATTCTTGTCCTGTGGACTAGTCTGTGTGGCCAGGGAGAAAGGATGGGTCACATAAGAATTCAAACATTTTGGAACATGTTAGCAGGATGAAGAGGATAGAGCAGTGCCCCAAAATAGGTGTGGGCCATTCTCCAGAAGAGAGGAGTGCTGGGCAAATAAAACAATCAAAGTATGCATAATGTCTGTCATTGACAATGAAAAGTAAAGCTCTTGCTGGTGCAGGCCTGTAGTCCCAGCTACTTGGGAGTCTGGTTGGGGAGGGTCCAGCCTGGGCAATATAACAAGACCCTGTCTCTAAAAGAAAAAAAAAAAACCTCTTGTTTGCAGCCTTCTGTGGATTGGGCCTACAAAACTTCACTTTCAAATTCTGGGGTGATGATAGTCCTGTGACTCAAGGGTTCTTGGAGTCTAGGGACCAATTAACTGAACTATTACATTATAGTCAGCCAAAATCTGCATTATTCAAATGAGTTGACAACAGTTTCATCTGAATTTGAGACAAACATATATATATTATTATTTTTTTTTAGTTGAAGTCCCTCTCTGTAGCTTAGGCTGGAGTGCAGTGGCACACTCATGACCACCCCTGTGTCAACCTGCTGGGCTCTGGTGACCCTTCTGCCTCTGCCTTCCAAGTAGCCAGAACTACAGGAGCATGCTACCATTCCCAGCAAATTTTTTTTTTTTAATTAATTGTAGAGACAACATCTCACCAAGTTGCCTAGGCTGGTCTCGAACCAGCAGATTCCACTCGCCTCAGCCTCCCAAAGTGCTGGGATTACAGGCTGATAGGAGCTCAAAACGCTTTTATCACAACTCAGTAAAGTTGAGGCCACAGTTGGTGAGGAGCCGAATTAGCTTCTAGCCTATAAGGTTTTCCACTGGAGACCAGTATCTTCACAAATAAATGTAGCCCACATGCCAGCGTTTGATATTTAGCTTTACTTTATAAAAATACACAACTTAAATACATATGACACTCTGTATACAAGACATAAACAACTGGTAGATTTAACATTTTCAATTATTTCAACACAAAGCAAATATGTAAATTACTTTGTAAGAGCACAGGGTTCATTCACAGCTCTGTTTTCACAGTTGAGGGGGACGAATGCCCAGGGAGCAATCAACGCGGGAAGCTAAGAGACACTGGCCAACTTGCCAACAACACTTATCTTACCAACAGGCCTTTATTGCACGGCTTGATATTGCACTGCTCGCTCGCCACCATCTAACTTATCCACATCACAAATGTAAGCTTTTGTCTTCTCTAGAAAAATTTAATGGAAAAACCGATGTACAAACAGTATTAACTGTTTCTTACAGTTGTGCTAAATATCAATTATGAGAAGTATGAACCTCTCTTCATTTTGCAAGGCTTGCAATAAACAGTGGTTAGCTATATTTTGCATCTAAATTCATTTTCAAAAGTTTTCCAAAAACATTAGCAGACTCAGAGTGAGTTCCACGGGGTGCAGTGGTGAAGGAGGTGCAGTAATTCCTGTGCCTAATGGAATTACTTATAAGAAGGACACTGTCACTGTCAAAGGCAATATGCACATAGCTTACAGCTCCACCCTTTCTAACTTAAGACCAAAATACCTCCCTCCCCCTTGTAAATCTGCCATGGTTCTATGGGAAACAGCAACTTTTTTTTTTTTTTAACTGATTCAGAGTTTTCAGGGGTTGCTTACTTACTCTGGGTATATTTCAGGAATTTAGCTGCCTTATTTATGGTTCATTTAACTAACAGTGAATTAGGTACTAGTTTGTAGGTATGAAGAAATATTTACCAGTTGAGAGTTCAATACATGAGAACACACTAGAGTAAGTTTCCTGAGGTAAATGTAAGCCTTAAAGAATAGTGTGCAATCTATAGAATTGTGACTTATCTTGGGTAGCAACGCATTGACCCCAAGTCTGGACTTTTAAATTAACAGGCTAATAAAACCAAGGACACATTTATATAAAGAAATAAAACAACAAAGCTGAAGTAAAAGTTGAGACTATCAATTCAAAAGGAGGCACAAAGGGGAACAGAGGAATAAAAGGAAGTATGTTTAAAGTGCTTAGTAGGTTGGACGATTAATCCGAAATGCCTCCAGAGATTTCTCACAGGTTTAAAAAGTGTTACTTCTTGCTGACTCAGATGGGGAAGACATGCCTTTTCTTTAATAATAGCTGTTTGAACTTTTCTTTTTTGAAAAACAAGATTCTTGATAAAATTTTTTAGTCATTGCAATTATTCTGCTAGTTGTTACTCTCAGTTATGTATTTTAAAATCCTAACTGGTTGAAGAGTTTTTAATAAAGCTGAACTACAAAGCACACATTTGCACCAAGAATTTAAATTAATGCATAGAGGTCTGTAAAATTTTGCATGAAGTTAGTACCAAAAAAGCTTTCCATTGCAATCATGCTTGTTACTACTTGATATTCTGCTGAAGGATTATGGAAATCAGAAAAATTCTAGGATCCTGATGCTTAACTTCTTTATTTTATTCCTTTTACATAAATTAAGTGGTATATTGCCATCTTTAACATTAATAATGAAGGTGTTAGAAACTAAGTCCCAAGACCTAAGAATCAGAGGTTTAGGCTAAATTTCACCAAGTCACTCAAAGTGATATGAATGGAAGCACTAAATAATTCTCTCTGCTGTCATTGCTGTTGTGCACAATACAGTTGAATGAGGTGACTAATCTAGTATGTAATAACAGTGATGAAAACTGGCACTGGCTCTTATACAGGGCCACATACTCAGGGCCCAATTAACTTGTCATGTTAATTAGGGCTGACACTACCATGCATGATCCCTCTTTCATATGAGTCCTACATTCTGTTGCAAGAACAGATATGTTTGAGTGCTTTAGGCATAATGAAGACTTTCCTTAAGCAAAATTTAGGTTCAAAAGAACTTTGGGTTGAAGTTTTGAAGTTCCAGAAGAGAATTAAAAGGCCAGAGGAAAACCTCACAAGAAAACATATATCAGTTCGTAAAAAAAACATTTTCGATACCACCAAGATGAAAACTTACACTATAAAACAAAGCTCTGGTTTCCTGACGGCAGGCTCAATGCAGCCCCAGTACAGTTACACAAAATGAGGCTGTTTTGGGAGTGAGGAACCATCCGGAAGACTGCAGAGGTTTGGATGAATAGAAAGTGGCTTTCCTTCTGAGGTGGTAAGAAAGATGCTATTTGGCAATCAATATGGGGTAGCTTGTTAAAATCCACAGGATAGTACCATTGTATATACTTGAAAGCCCCAATTAGTACGGTATGGTTGCAGCGAAAAAAATGAGTGATGTAACAAGAGTGATGATGTGATAAGTCAAGTGGTGAGACTGGTTCCATAAGGGCTGTAAGAAACACCAGTCCTAACACCTGATCTTCATCTATCCCTTGAATACCGAGGACGAGACTATGGCCAGAGAATGCATTTTGTAGTCTGTAGTTTAAAACTATTACTCTTCAGAAATCTGGAGCCCAAGCAACCATCACAAAGACTCCTTTCACATAGGCCACAAGACCTTCCCTACCAGCACCCAAAGGATGCATACATGTCTCTGGTCAACCAGGCACAGGTCAAGGCTTAGAAGGGAAGATGGAGGAGGTAGAAGTCAGTAGCCAGGGATTCAAAGAGGGAAGAAGAGGAAACAAAAGAAGAAATAACACTGGTGAGGAAGCCAATAATGGGCCTGGCTTGCTGAGGAGCAGCTCTGCCTTTTCCCTTGCCTGCGGCAAATTAGAAGGTATGAGAAAAGGGATAAGCTTCATATGGAGTTCACACAGCTCAGTGAACTTGCCCCCAGCTAGGCTGGCCTTTCCCTCTGTATATTTGTGCACAATCTCTAGGTGTGACCTAAAAGTACTTGTTTTTTGTAAGAGTTGGGGCTGGACTTGAACTCCTGGGCTCAAGCCATCATCCCGCCGTAACCTCCTAAAGCGCTGGGATTACAGGCGCATGCCACCACACCCAGCTTCTGCAAGTACTTTTGTCTTGGGGTCTGGTTCTTCATTCCCGGGTACACAGTGCTTTCTACTGCTACCAGTAACCATCTCTATGGCAAGAAAAGGCCTCAGACCCAGGGGCAGAATGGGCAGCTGCCAGTGTGCCCAGAATCTGTGGTTGCCACCTTTTCTTAGTACTGCCTTGTCTCTCCCCCTGGTGGTTGGAGAAGGGGAACAAAGTGGATGTCATGAAAAGGCTGCTCGGTTCAGAATTGTATCACTTCATTTCACAAACTTCCAAAGCACTGCCAAGAGTTCATAATTACAGATTGATGGTTAAAATACCACCTAAGGAACTCACTGTAAAAGGAGCAACTTGCCTGTAACGACACACCAAACTTTCAGGGGTTCTAATGTTGTCTGCTTCCATCTTTGTTATGTCCTTCTCTGATGATGAATTTAAAAAGAAAAAAAGTAAAAGCTCCTCCTGTCTCCCTCCAGAAAACTCATGGACTTTCCCAAGTGAAATGCCTAAGAAATGCTACAGTTATAGAGCTTACAAATGCATGAGAAAAAAATTCAGATGATCTAGAAATATGAAATTAAGTATAGTATATAAGTGACGCTCAGTTCTCTTCATACAAATGAAGGTCATCTCTCAGTAAAATGTCTATGAAATGGTAACAGGCACGTGAATTCTTGATTTAGAAATGACAGCACAAGTGAAAAGAACAGTGAGATTTTTTGAAGGAAAACTCCACGTTGGTTACTTCACCTCTGGGAAAGTCTGCGCATGCATCTCACACTTGCCTTTTTCTCAACTTTCTACTTGATGTTTTTCAGGAGGGCCGTCCGGGCATTCACAACTGCTTTGAAGGCATCTTCACTACCAGGTGCTACACACTTGTCAGGGTGAAGCAGCACAGCGAGTTTCCGATACGCTTTATTGATTTCATCCCTAGGAGAAGCAGCCAAGCTCCATGTTAGTGACAGGTCAGCCCAACCCACTGAATTCCAGCTGTTTGGCTACACATCGTATCTCTTGCAGTATGCATGTCCCAAATAATTATGACCTGTTCTCAAAGGTGGGACTAAAAGACTGGAAAACAAATAAATATTATGAAATATACAAATAAAAAACTATGATGCAAAATGAATTTATAAACGCCAAGGAAACACTTAGTAAACGAATGAGCAGATGGAACCAAGCAGTACCTGGTACCTTGCAGGCACTTGGCAAATCTTCACTGACAGAAGGAATAGAGTCTGAGCCTCAGGAAAGGCCCTGGAGGCGCCTACTGAAAGAAGGTAGGGCTCTGGGAGAGAACTCGCAGGGGCTGGTGCGGACCCAGCACAGATTGAGAGCAAAACAGCCCAAACACCTGGGTTTGATAAATAATCACAATAGTAGGGGTTTCACAACAAACTGGCACACTAGGAAAATGGCTTCTTGAAGTTAGGAGACAGGAAGTTGCTGCAATAATCCAGGCATGAGTACAAGAGTTTAGATTAAGCCATTTTTGGAAGCAAACAAGGAGAGACGTAGTGGCTGTGAGTGTGCCATTGCACTCCAGCTTGGGCAACAGAGTGAGACTCCGACTCAAAAAAAAAAGAGAGAGATAACATAAAGACAGATAAGGAAGAAACCAAAGAAGAAACAAGGCCCAAGAGGAAAGGAGCAGCAACAAGGCTTCTCCAAACAGGTAGTTCCCATAAATCAGCAGCACTCCAGGAGACAGTGGTGGGCTGCTGAGCTTCTCACAAGGCAGCACGGTTGGGGAGGGGCCTGAGGACTCCTGTCCCTGTCCCAATTCCCACTGATCATCGTCTTCAGGTGTCAGTCCTCCTAGGGGCTATGCCCAGCCACTCCCAGGCCAGATGGGGCTTTACTCCCCACTTTCCTTTAGCAATGCAGGGTCCGGTTGTCCAGTGATATGGGCATGGAGCTTGGCCACATGCCCTTGCCTTTCTGTTTTATTTTTCATCAGAAGGATTGCTAATTTGGCTCTCCAAATTAGGGAGATGGTCTTTGATATCTTGGAAGTGATGGAAAGTTTTATGTATCAGCTTGGAGAGACTGAGGTCACGGGGCCATGTGAACAGTTCTCCAAGTCTTAGGCAAACATTCTCTTTTCTGCTCTTAGAGGAATCCTTCTGAATTTTCTTGTTTTAACTTTGTGTGTAGTTTTTCTACATATATAATTTTGATATTAGCTAACAAGAATGACATTCTCGCTCTTTGAAGAAATTTGAATGGCCAGAATTCCTATTTCTCCCAAAGACCCTCTGTCCTTTAGGCAAGGACAGCATCCTTTCCGTTTCCCAGGACTCACAGGGCCTCCACAGGCTCCATCTTCTTTGCCAGTATAAACACATATTCTCTTTGTTCCACTGGGTCTAGTAAACTAATTTTGTATGGCATTGAGCAAATTAGAGAAAAATCTTTAAAGCATTTTTTTGTAAGTTAAGGAGAATTTTGATATTTGTTCAGTGCTATGTTTACTATTCTTGAGCTTTATGAAAATGTTTATCCTTAGCAGAATTGCTATATTAAATGAAAACTATGTCTCCCTACTTCTCAATTTTCTTTCTTCAAGGTAAAAGTATAAAATGAAAACTATGTCTCCCTACTTCTCAATTTTCTTTCTTCAAGGTAATAACTATCAGTATTTTTTACATATATATATATTTTTCTTTTCTTTTCTTTTGAGTTGGAGTCTCACTCTGTGGCCCAGGATGGAGGGCAGTGGCATGCTCCCGGCCATCGCAGCCTTGACTTGCTGGGCCTGGGCAATCCTTCCACCTCAGCCTTCCAAATAGCTGGAACTACAGGTACACGCCACCATGCCTGGCTAATTTTTTGATTTATTGTAGAGGTGAGGTCTCACCAAGTTGCCCAGGCTGGTCTCGAACCCACGGGCTCAGGCAATCCTCTCACCTCTGCTTCCCGAGGGAGTATGTCCACAGGGGATTAGTAGTTATGCCTGTGCCTCCACACTAAGAGGGCCTTTCAAGATTTCTAAAAAGTTTTGGATAAATGAGACTGATTCAGTTGTGTAAGGAATACAGCAACAAATATCAAAATTCTCCTTAATGTATGAAAAAAAATGCTTTGAAGATTTTTCTCCAATTTGCTCAATGACATACAAAATTAGTTTGCTAGACCCAGTGGAACAAAAAGAATATGTGTTTATACTGGCAAAGAAGATGGAGCCTGTGGAGGTCCTGTGAACTCTGATAGAGTTCTTACCCAAAGTAAGTAAATAAAGAACCAACCATTTACTTTTCCTTAATGAATATTGTTCTAAGCCCATTAATAAATAAAGTAACGGTTTCTTAAATTTAGAGCCCATATTCCTTGAAGATGACACAAGAATTTAGAATGAGACTATGGAGGTCTAAAAGAACATTTACAAAACAATAAACCTTGGGCTCTACACATGAGGTCACCCGAACTTCTTCAATGCCTGGCAAGTTAAGAGTGACTAAAAACAGTCTTCTCTTTCCTTTTCCTCTTCTTTCAGGACTTGAAGGCATGCGATAAATCCAAAATGGAGAGGAAATACTTCCTGTTTTGGGTACCGAAAGGCAATTTCAAGAAATACGTTTTTCTTTTGTGTGAATCAAGGTGAGAAAGAAAGAAGGAGCATAGGAAGGGGAGCCATGTTGTAAAATAAGACCCTTACAAATTATAATGTATAGTAATGGTTGTATCATACCATTAAAAGCTATATAACCATATTAAATATAAAGAATAATAATTTATTTTTGCACAAGCAATTGGGAATAGTGATTGTATTTCTTTTCTTCCTGAATAATTCCTTTGGCTAAAATAAAATAATTTAACATAAATACCCCCACAGATGAGAAATAGCAGGGTTTTTGAGAAAGACAGACAAATAGACACAGTATTTCAGGGTCAAGAACCGATTCTAACATGAACTCCTGGGTTCCTTGAATGTGTTTAAACTCACTGAGTCCCAGTTTTTTCGCTTATAAAATGAAATGTATGGACAAGCTGTTAATCTTTTTTCCTCTAAAATTCTACAATTTAAGAAATCTCCTTTGTAAGTTTTTATTTTAAGGTTACAACAGCTTCAAGGCTCTTGTTCAACATAGACAAACACAGACATAATTTCATACAGTGTTTATGCACATACACGACATAGTTCCCTTACCAGGGAACAGTGTCCTCTATTTTGTTTCTTTGGTATTCAGTTAATTCAATGAAGCATAGTCATTAAGTAATCTAATATAGTTCAACACATCTTCCTATTTCCAGCCAATCAGAAGAAGATATATGGCACTTATAACATTGGTGACTGATTCTTGCCCTGTGACAGAACTCAGCACTAAGTATCCTAGACCATTGCTTACCTTGAGGCCCCAGGTTTGACTCCCAGCATGTCCCAACTATCTTTACTATTTCGAATTCTGCGAATGGTATCTGCTTGTTCTTTGGTGAAACTAGCACTGCTATTTGTGGCAAGACGCTTCCCGCCATTTTCACACAAATCAACTATGGATACATAAAAGGTCTGCAAGAAGAAAACATATTCCAGGATAGAAATGATTTTGTGAAAATAGGAATTCCTTTTAAGCATCAATTTAAAGAGTTTTAATATGTTCCAGTAACTCTTAAAAGTCATGAATAACATAAATGTGTACTTTGGAAGATTCTTTTATTTTATACTAGTTAAATACATATATATTCATATATTTTAGTACAAAAAAGTATCAGAAATAAAATTAAAATGGCTCATAATCCTACTCTCAGATAACCACACTTGAAGTTAAAAAGAATAAACATGGCTGGGTTCAGTGGCTCATGCCTGTAATGTCACCACTTTGAGATGTGGAGGCAAAAGGATTGCTTGAGCCCAGGAATTCAAGACCAGTCTAGGCAACATAGACCTTGTCACCACCCAAAAGTAAAAAATGTAGCTACTTGGGAGGCTGAAGCAGAGGTCAAGCCTGTTGTGAGCCGTGATTGTGCCACTATAGTTCAGCCTGGTTGACAGAATGAGACCTCGAATCAAGAAAAAAAAAAGTAATAGAGAAACACTATTAGAAAAATTCAAGCCGGGCTCGGTGGCTCAGCCTGTAATCCCGTGCCTTTGGGAGGCTGAGGTGAATGAATTGCTTGAGCC